ACTAAATCTGACTTGTGTGTTCAACAAATATTTTTTTTTTTTTAAATTATTTTTTTTGGCGTTGGGGTGTTATAAATTATGATGGAGCTTTAGATGGAATAGACGATAAACAGAAAATATTTACCATGAATCCTGTACAGTGAGATAAGCTTGGATAAATTGAAAGACATTTTTAAAAAAAATTATAAACTGGGAACTCAGCTCTTCACAAAATTAATTATGGATGGATAGTCTGGAGAATTTTTGCAAAGTACACCAAATTGTCTAATTGCAAAAAATGGTATGGAATTTCTAGATTCGTGCACAATTTTTATTTAAATAGATTGAAAAAAAATGGTCAAATAATAAAAATTTCTTGTGAAAATGTGATACCTGCATTTTTTTTTCTTTGTATTTCAGGGACCCCAAGGACCACCTGGACCTCCAGGACCACCTGGCCCACCAGTAAGTCTCTATACATACTACCTTTAAACGTGTCTGCTGAGATCTTATAATAATTGCATGCCTCGACAACTCCAAATCTGAATACCATTTCTTTGTGCTTTTGCACAAGATTCGAAGTCTGAGCAGATGTCAGAATTTTGTTTGTTGGTCGTGTTTCTTTTTGGATAATTAATCTTATTCCCGTACTTCCTCAGGGATATGCTCCAGTGTATCCAGGCCCCGGTGCCAACTTCGCCAACAAAGGAAACGATCCATATCAATACGACCAGCCCATCGAGGTACTTGTTGTTGTTTTTTCGTTTGTTGCATAAGATTTTAAAATCTTTTTATACACTACACCGGTATTTGAAAATTAAGGTGCATACATTATGTTTAAAATATATCCTGCATGGATGCATCTCCAAAGTCTTGGGTCAATTTGAGTCGAATTAATTTAAGGTTTAAGTTTAATTTATTTACTTTTCTTCCAATCTTGGACATGGCATGTTACACGGAAGAGAAATGTTTAAAATATGTTTTTGTTAAATTCCATTGGAAGTTAGTAATTGCTTCAGCTCTCCTTATTATTATATTTACCAAACACTCTTTCATGACTAATAATAATGATAAAAGGTGTTACCCAACTGAATGTAATTTAAAACACACTTTTCTGATGGAGTTCTCATTTTCATTTCAGGATACTGAGGGTGGCTACGAAGGTCTGAACTTTGCTAGAGAGGCCCTCAACCGTGTCTACAAGCCAACCGGCAAGAGGACATCACCTGGTCAGACTTGCAGGGAGATCATCAGAAACAACCCTGACTTCCAAAGTGGTGAGTGCTTACATCACATGATCATTTAGTGCAGCGGTTCCCAAACTTTGAAGTTGGACGAATTGGTCGAGAATCTTTTGGCCCAATCTTTTTGATTATATTCCACGGACCGGCAATGAAGGCTTGCAGACTGGTGCTGGTCCACCATTTGGGGAACACTGGTTTAGTGTTTCCATATTATTATATGTCTCCAGTCCATTGACATGTCTGTCAAATAGACTCTATAATAAGTTGAAGCTATAATCCTATATATTAAAAAATATATGTTTCTGCACTGTATTCTAATGATAACTGTATTTGGCATATCCATATCCACGGCAAGGATTCTCTTTTGGTTAATAAGTAACATTATAAAAAAAAATAAACATTTTTATTATCAAAAGTTCTTTTACAAAAACTGGGTAGCAATGTAAACTCAAAAGGTAATGGGAATGTCCTGCCCGTCATTTTCTATGTAAAATACAGCATTTTAAAAGTATGATTATCTTCACCTTTTTAACTAACCTAAGGGAATGCTGTTGCAATCATTTTGTTATTATCATGTGTCATGTGTACATTACTAAAACAATTAAATAATTGTCACTAGGCTACATTTTAAAACCCCAATTTATTCCTCTAAAACAAAATTAGGTGAATACTGGATCGATCCCAATGAAGGCTCAGCTCTTGATGCCATCCTTGTGTACTGCAACTTTGAGACAGAGGAGAGCTGTGTTGATGCCAGCAATAACAATGTGAGCACCTTTGTGTGAATAGGCATCTTAATAATGAGTTAATCACCTAATTATCCTTTTTTTTTCCAACATCAGCTAACTAATAGAATTCCAATATCAGAAAAAAATATTAAGATCAAATATTTTAACCTTAGTTTAGTTAGGCTATGTAAAATAAGTTGTGATAAAATTATTAAAACTTGCAGAGCTATTTGCAGTTAAATGAGGGTGATTTTAATATTTTTATGACAGATTATTTTGTATCAGAATTGTTTTGGAAAAATTTGTTACTATGCCTCAGTTTTAAGTGTCTTAGCTTATAAAATTTCACGATCTTAAAAGAAAAATCGAAGGCTTGTTTCATTACGTACCACATTTTGTCTTATTAGTTCGGACAAGAGAGATGGACCAAGAGCACAAGGGAAGGTCAATATTTCATGGAGGAGGTCAACAATGGAAAGGAAGTAAGTAACCATTTAAAATAAATATACTGAAAAAAAATGTATGAATAATTTCATTTATAAGTACCATACTGAGAGATTACATTTTATTATAATTTTAGTAATCTTAATATAATTTCTTTCTCTGTTGGCTAATTTTTATTTCTCACCCCCACTCCGTTTCCCCCACCTACAGTTCATTTACAAGGCTGAGTCCCAGCAGCTGAAGTACCTGCAACTTCTGTCCTCTGGTGCTCGTCAAACTGTGACCTACAGCTGTCTCAACACCAGCCCCTATGGAACCAGATTCATCACCAGCAGCGGTGAGGAGATCGACTCATCCGAGGGAAGATTCAAGAGATCCACCTTTATTGATGTCTTTGATGACTGCGTAAGTATCACATGTTGTGACGGAACGAATGTCAGAATATCGCCTTGAGACAGAAAATAGCCCTGGCTAAGTTCATTTTGGAAACCATTGCATAATAGATGAAGCAGAGTTTTCTGTTTTAATGTTGGCCTATGTTGAGTTCTTGCAGTGGCACTTAATTTCAATAAGGAAGAAAAAGGACGATATATTAGCATAGTCTAATAGTTAATCAAGAGGAAAAATCTTTTTATTAAAGTCTTTGCCACCATCTTCCCATTCATCTAAACTGAGACTGAATGATTAAGAAAGGTTTTTATGTTTTAGTTAGAGAATTACCAAACAGTTAAAGATTTTTTAGGTTAAACTATTCAAAACCTTGTCACTTATAAGAAGCATTATTTCCTATAGATAATTGAATTGCTAAGGTACAAAGAAATGAGAATTAACCTAAACATTTCCATGTGAAGCATTATTGAACATTTCTCTTGTCCACTTCCAGCACAAAGACAACCAGTGGCACACAGCCACCTTCAGCATTAGAACCAACAAGACTGATGTCCTTCCACTCACCGACATCCTCCTGTTTGATATCGGCAGAGAGAACCAGCAGTTCGGTATACAAGTTGGAAATGCTTGCTTTAGCTAAATTACACTATTTCCAATTGTCAGGTTGTTGTTTTTTTAAGATTTTTTTTTCATCCTAGTTTCATTCAGTCATAATTTTCATTTATTTTTTTTTAAAATCAAAGCATCTAGTTCTGGCAGACATCTGGATGTGTATCATGATGAACCATGTTATTGTTTTAACATTGAAAATTCCAACTAACATACTTAGAGAGTGAAAAAAAAAAAATTAAACATCTTAAAATTTCCCTCTAAGTGTTTTTTAAAAACATGTTCTGCATAATTTACCGATGAGTTTTATCAATGGAAGCAACTTAACTTTCTCCTGTTATTAAGTGCCTTATCACAATCCGTCCATTATCTCAGCATTTTTTTCTTTCATGACATTGTTACTTATCATTAACAAAGTCTTGTTAACTAAATGTTATTATATTATTACTATTATTGTTCATCCTATGCCTGCTATGCCAAATTTTTACTGAAAATATAAAATTTATATTTTATGTAGTCAAATTTTGGAGAAGAAAATCTGGTTTAACACCTTGAATTTTATATCCATCCAAGTTGGGTTTTCTTTTCAATACCGAAGGTTTTTCCATTTTGAAAAATGACTTTAAGATAAACCGGGCGTTGCAATGAAATTATAAGAGAAATGCCCAGTTCGATTGTTAAAATTTTTTTTGAATATATGTATAAAAATTGTATATTTTCAGTAAAACCTTTCAAATAAATTAATGACCTAATATGATGTTTGCAGCAAATTATGGAGTGAAAGAAGGTTTGAATGTGATCTGTACTGCATCTTTCAATTGCACAAGTCTTTTTTTAATTTCTTTTTTAAATTAGCTCTAAAATGTTTTGTTTTGTGAAAAAAAACTGGTAGCTAGCTTAGACCATCATATGTAGAGGCGAGAGCCCTTTGTTTTAAGGTAAGCTACATAAATGTGTTGAGTTTCTTATTGAAGCTGCTAGATTCACCAACCCAGTTCACCCCGTTGCCTCTAGATTTCTGTTATAGTATAATTCACGTCTTTTTAACTATGCCGGTCCAACCTAAATTCGCTGCCAACAGAGATCTTGAACAGCAGAGTACCATCAATCTTTGCAACCAGCTCATTAACAACACGCTCATTCTAAATGCAAACCTCGCCCACACGGTTTGCAAGGCAATGAGAGTGGCTGAGATAAAAACCCGACACATTTAACCGGGGCGTATGCTTAAAATAACTGATGCTTTCTTGCTTTGTATAGTCATTTGTACTTTTATTATTATTCTTTTTGGAACGACTGGCCAATTAGGTTTTAGTGGTTACATGGATTCAATTGTTTTCTTATAATTTTTTTTTTCTATTTTAAAAATGTGATTAATGATGCTCATATTTCAAAGTTAAAAAGAAACACAAGGGTTAAAAAAAATTATTACTGATGATGCAACATCTTACAGACATCAGTCACCACTGCCTTAAAAAAATAAATAAATTAAAAACAAAATTCTTTTAAAAATAATATGTTTTGTTTCTCCTTTTTTTTTTTTTTTTTAAATGTGGGGACGTAAATATTATGTTTTTTCAAATGTGGCTAAGAAAATTCTTTTACAGTTAACATCTAAAAAATGTCTTCACATATATGTTTTAGAAGGGCTTGTTGTTTGCTTTTTACCTGTGCCACTGACACCTTTTGAGCTGAACCAACTTCACCTCACCACACACACAATAATAGCTGTCTCTGCTTCACGTAGAAAAAATTCTCAGTTGCTGTACCATCAAAGTCATACTTTACAAAATAAATCTTCCGAGTTAGATATAGTTCTCTTATAAATCCCGGCCCAGCCTTTCCATCTCGGAGATGACAAAGTCCATGTCAGAGTGGTCACATGCTGGGTTGTGAACAACAACACGGAAAAAGTTGACCAGACCTTTACTGCTTAAGGGCTGATAACCAATCATCATTGTCCCCGCACTGACCATTCTGGCTTTCAGCTTCGGGGCCACCTGTGGGATGCAATCAACAAGGTGTCAGTTTTTTTAAAATAATTATTTTAACTAAACTAAAATTTTGACTCCTCAAAAGTAATCAGATAGTCCTGAAACTAAAAATCAAGAAAAGTGTGTCCTTCCAACGTTTCTCCACTGAACTTATAGTGGCCAACACAAATTCTTCCCACCAACCTTATGTAATTCTTTCCACCAATCTGGAGATTCTGTCAAGCCACGCAGTGATGCTGGAATGTACCAGAAGCAAATATTTGTACACTGAAACTGGAGGGAAAAAAATATGTTTAATATCATCAGCCTTATGTTTTAGATGGGAAACAATTTTTTACTTGAAAATGAGAGAGATGCATTCAATGTAATTAAATGACTTACTTCAGGTAAGACGAGCCGAAATCCTGGAGTGACATTCAATTTTTTCAACAGATATCTAGAGAATGAAATTTTTTTTAAATATATTTTACTATGATGCAAAAAATTTTGATGGGACTTGGGAAGAAAATCAGGCTAGATAATTCTCAATGTCAACCTTAAGCTTAATGTCAACAATTTATAACCAATAGATAGATCCTTGTGAAATGAGACGAAAATACTAAGCTATTACTCTCCAAATGAAAGGGAAAGAAAACAACTAATTAATGTCCACCTGGAATTATCAAAAGCCTTTGTACCTGAAATTAGTTATCACAAGCCTTGTTGCCTGGAATTAATTATCAAAAGATTTGTCACCTGGAATTATCAAAAGCCTTGTCCCATGAAATTATCAAAAAACCTTGTCACCTGGAATTATCAAAAGCCTTGTCTATCCTTGCTTCCATTCCGTCATCACCAAGAGCTTTCCACATGGTCCACAGCTTCATAACATCTACTTTTCGGCCACACTGCACTGTCTTATCCCCTTTTCCCAAGTAATAAAAAGAATGTAAGCTGTCATTAATCATTAAAAACATTCACATGCATTGCAGACGTACTTATCAACTTACTGAGATAAAGGCCCACGGGGCATGGCCAGGTTAGTCTGGGTACATTCACATGCATTGCAGACGTACTTATCAACTTACTGAGATAAAGGCCCACGGGCATGGCCAGGTTAGTCTGGGTACATTCACATGCATTGCAGACGTACTTATCAACTTACTGAGATAAATGCCCACGGGCATGGCCAGGTTAGTCTGGGTACATTCACATGCATTGCAGACGTACTTATCAACTTACTGAGATAAAGGCCCACGGGGCATGGCCAGGTTAGTCTGGGTACTTATAAGCAAACGACCACTGCCTGTGGCACTAAACATAAGCTAAATGCACCTGTATCAAATGTTGTATCATAGTGTTTGTCAGGCTGAAACAGGTAATCTGCACTACAGCTGTTTGCCTCTTGCATCAATTCCTGGAACAATTTAGAATTCTATCAACTTTAAAACTCTTTAAGGTCTGACTTTTTAAACTATTTTTTGAGACACAAATAAAACCATTATAAATTCTCAAAATGAGAATCAGGTCAACAACAACAAAAAGTTCTTATTTAAGAGAATAGTAAGTGTAGAAATCATGTGATATTTAAATTCATCCTCTCTTCCCCTTCACCCCAAGCCTTCTCATCCTCATTGTAATTTATAGAAGCGCGCACTTATATTTGTACACATTTGGCATGCAGCTTTAATGAATGCTGTATCAGATAGGACAGGCAGATCATGGATTATATAGTCATATAGGACAGACCGATCATGGATTATACACAGTCAATAGGACAGACAGATCATGGATTATATAAAGATATTTGTTTTCCAAAAATATTAAAAAGCTTTTCTGTTTTTTGGGGGGTTTTTTAAACCAATAAAAAAAATTTTAATCTGACCTTGTCATTTATCAAAAGGACAGAACATTGCATGGGGACTCCACTCATTTTATGGAAGTTCCAAGACAAAGAGTTGCAACTGTTGCAGCGGAAAATGGAGAAAAAAAAATATTATACAATAAATTTATCTAAAGATGTAAAATTTTTACAAAATATTTTTAAAAAGTAAACTTTTCGTAGTCAATTTTCTACATGCTTCTCAAACAGAAGACATATGTAAAACTGAGACTATACAAAAAAAAAATTCTAACTTCTCTACTCCATTTAGTAAGTACTTGTATTTCTTGGAAAGAAGAGTTCCTGCACCTAAGCACGCCTTTAGACAAAACCAAATGTACATTACACAAATTTATTAATTTCCTTGGAAATATAATATTTTTAACTAGTAATATCTCATAATTTATCTTGTGGGCCAGATTGTTATATTTTGCAAATATAAGAAAATATAACAATCTGGCCCACAAGAAAATTTCATAATATAATATTGTCAATTATGCTAAATAATTAACCTTTCACTGGAAAATCAAATTCATAAATAATAGTTTCATACATTAAAAAATAAGCAATCAATTATGAAAAACATAAATTTAAAAAAAATTAATAAAAGGAGCCACTTACATCACAGTGCAACCAAACTTTATACCTCTTGCATACTTCACGCAGCTCAGGCAATGGGTCAAATGATCCCAGAACAGTAGAACCACTGGTGGCCATTACAAACAAGGGAACAAAGCTCTTCAAAAAATGAAATAAAATATGTTGTTGTTTTTTTTTAAAGTAGACATCTGTGTTTTTCTACCAGTTTTTAAGTGAGTCATTTCATGATTAATGTATAATACATATGACTTGTACTGAAAGGACACATATAACTACCACTAACAGGTTATAAAAGAATCACCTTTTCCAAATCCTCCAAAATAACTTTTTCCAATTCCTGTGCACACATTCTGCCAATGTCATCTGTTTTAACGGGCACAATGTTGTTTTCTCCAAATCCAAGATAGCTCCCAGCTTTCTTTAGTGAGTAATGCCCCTGGTCAAATTGAAAATTGAAAAATAAATTACTGCATAGAAATGTTGATGTTAACTCAGTTATTGATGTTTAATAGCCCACAAATTGTTATGAGTATAAAATATGTAACAAACATGATGTGGGATTGATTGAGTAAAAGTAGCATCGTGTTGCTCATTTTAAGTGTAAGAAGAATGAAAAGAATGTTTTACATCTTCAGAAATGTAACATCGAAGTCTAGGTAGGTTATACTGGCCTTCTTTCTTTATCTGTGGACATCTTTTAAACCTGGCAAGATGCAAGGCCAAACAGTTGGATGCAGAGCCACCTGAAAATAAAACATTTATAAAACTAAGAAAGAGTTGGCTTGCAAAAATCTGCCATTACGGGGGGGGGGGGGCTTAAAGGCCATGGGGAAGTGATGTTGATTTTTAAATAAAGAACCTGTTCTAAGAAAGTCTGTGAATCATCAGCCCACCACACTAAAGACCCTATAACAGTTGAATCAACAACATTATAAAAATGGAAATCACCCCCTCTTTCTCTCCCCCACCCTCCCCAGAGAATTAGCTAAGGAATTCAAGACACATTTTTATTTGCAGACAATGTATCAACATGCCAGATGAATAAGAAAACCAAAACACAAAAAAATGTGTCAAGTGCTGCCACCTGGTGAAGGGGCATGCCAGTTGTGATCCATATGACCTTTCAGTACCTTCTAGAAGTCAGATTGATTATATCAGAAGTTGAGAATGCAGAAACACAACATGAAACAAAACTCTTAATCATTTATTTACCTTCTCTCAACCTTGCAGGAGCCAGGCTAGAAGATGCTGTTAAATATTTATTGTGAGTAAGCTCTAAATTGAAACTTGAGGAGCCAGTCTTAGAAGGTACTGTCAAATATTTATTGTGAGTAAGCTCTGAACTGAAACTTGGTTCATCCTCCGTCCACAAATGAATGACAGCATGCATTTAAAAAAAAAAAAAAAAAAGGGGGGGGGGGGACAATAAAAAAAAAGTAAAAAAAAAAAACAAAAGAAAAAAAAAAAAAAAAAAAAAAAAAAAAAAAAAAAAAAAAGAAAAAAAAAAAGAAAAAAAAAAAAAAAAAAAAGGGGGGGGGGGGGGCTATGAAAAAAAATGGTCATAAAATTACCCACCAGGACAAAATAATCCGTCTCCAGTATCAAAGCCTACCATTGCTAAAAGCTTCTGGAATATGTACTTCTCCATCAAGATAAAAACTGGGCACACCTCATATGTATGACTGAAATGAATCAAGAAATATTTAAGAATGATCACACAGAAAAAATAATAATACAACTATTCCATATATTTTAGGAGTTACACGGTTTTGAAACAAAAACAAAAAAACAACAGCAACAACATTGTTGGAAAAAATGTTACTTTATGCTTGTTGTACAAGCCTTAAACCTGAGATGTTAGGCAAAGGCATCCTGTTGGAAAAAATTAATTGGATGGATAAAACATTCTAGCTTAGCAATAAAGGTAGAAATAAGTCTAGATATAACCAGCAGTTAACTGCTTCTATTCGATGCTATTTGGGAAATTCTTAAATTCTAAGAATTTATTTAAAAAGAGCTAAAAATTGTATGGTAAACATAAAATATAAAGGGGCCCTGAAATCATCCTGGGTGTTACTGTAGGGCAAAACAATGAAAGGGGGGGGGGGGAGAGGGGAGGGGAAGGAATCAGTGATTCATTTATTGTTTAGCCGCATGTTCAAAGGCGTTGGAGCTAAAAATTGTATGGTAAACATAAAATATAAAGGGGCCCTGAAATCATCCTGGGTGTTACTGTAGGGCAAAACAATGAAAGGGGGGGGGGGAGGGGTGAGGGGAAGGAATCAGTGATTCATTTATTGTTTAGCCGCATGTTCAAAGGCGTTGGCTAGCTGAGAGCAGTGAGCTTACAAAAAAATGTTAATGCAATAAACTATTTGCTGACTAAGCTGCCTACTTCCTGCTCTAGACCCAAGTGCATTAATGCACAACACCTGTAGATGAACAACACATGACACAGGCTAAAAGGTTTCATCAAGGCAAGGTATCAGAATAAATAGCAGAATACATGAAGAAGCCGTGTTCTGAATTAAACTTTTACAGTCATTACAAATTATAAACTGGGCCACACCATGACTATCCTGTGTGTTTATAGATGTCTAAGCTATAAATCAGTGAGAATTAATCAATGTGCAATTGAAAGGCATGAGAATCTGCCGAACAAATGGGAAGTAATGTTATGAAAGATGATAGGGTTGTATTTAATCCACAAAAAAAAATTATATTAACATAATGAAGCTAAGCTATTTTAAACTTTTTTTTTATGTCACCGAGGCCACGTTTAAATGTGAAAGTGTAATGATTAAAAAGGAAAAATAAAATACTAACCATTGAACAACAAAAGAATCTATATTTTATTATAAATTTCAGGGCAAAAAATATTTATTCTTTTGCATGATCATAATAGAATAAACCATGATTGTTTAAAAAAAAATTTAAAATTTACTTGCCAACTCCCAATATATCAATCTCTATTTTGATTTTGATGTATTATGTAACAGAGCAGTTAAAAATGTTGCTGTTGGGGGATAAAGCACTCCTTATTTACCCAAATGTCTATGATGATTAACTTACATATTGTTGTTGACAGCATCTGTCACCCAAGACCCAGCTTGTGAATAAGGATCTAGACCAGCATACAGCATATTGTGGAAGTGGGGGTGACCTGGGTTGAAAGGAAAATCAGACAGAAAACAATAATTAATAGCATATTCTAAAAATTAATGATCCTTATATTCTCATATTATTTCAAGCTGAGATCGTGTGGGCTTTTATGTGTTTACTCATGTCTCAAAGCAGAGTGATATGTGTAAAGATGAGCTTAAAAATTTTTTTTTAACAACTTCTTATTCTAGGTGAATTTTACTTCTAATATTTATAATACTTTTTTAATTAAAGAATAAAAATTCACCCAATGTACCTGATTTTATGCTGTACTTTAGAATCTTTTTTATTTCTGCCAACAGCTCTTGATGATCTGATGGTGTCGATTTAATTTCAAAGTTAATCAAAGCCTGAAAAAAAGAATATTTTAAACCACCACATCTGTCATTTAAAAAGAGTGAAACTTCTGAGGTGAATTTACCAAGAGTAATTGCAGAGGTAATGAACATTTTAAAATTCATTTAAGAACTTGTTTGATTTTTTTTTTTTTATTGTTTAGAAATCTTGGTCCTTTGCTGCTAGCAAGTGATACTTTTGGCTATTTTTATAAATGACATTAAATTGATCTCAACTGCATAGTTTGGTGAGGAATTCAAAATGTTTGACCACTCTAAATTCAAATAAATATTAAAATAGATAATGCAACACTTTTTTGTGTACCTGCAATTCATTTGGTTGCTTGAACTCTATCACTGGTTCATTCCTGGAGGTCCCTTTCTTTAGAGCATCATCTTTGATCAAGTTGTAAACAGTATCCAAAAACGACTCCACTTTGGGATCCCCAAAACTTTGGCCTAGCAAAAAAACTCATTTCTTATGGTTCACCACAACTGAATAGGTCTGAAGCGCACCCACCCTTTGGAAGATGAGTAGCCTTGGACCTACATAACTATTACCTGATAAAGTTCTGATGCCAACCTTGTGGTAGGGCCTATGATATAATATTCAGCTCTTGCAAGTATAAAAATTGAATAAATGCAGGCTCAAAGGAGAGTCAAATCTGTCTTTTACATCATCCAATATTCAGAGCCATTTTAATTACTCAACATTTGTGGGCAGTGGCCCTAGCTAAGGCTGTGTGAATGTTGCATGTTGGTTCAACGAACCACTTTGAGTTTCATTGTAGGATCCCCCCCCCCTTTTTTTTTTACGTTTATATTTAATAGTCAGAATCTATTTCCTGTTTTAATGGTCATTTCTGTTTTTAATCACGATGCTTTTGTCCAGACCATAAATCTGGTTGAAAATGAAGTTTATCTCTTTACACTTAGACTTCTTTCTATCATTTCATTGCACCATTTAACTTTGACTTCCTCCCATCACTCTATCCCACACTCCCCTGCTTCCAAACAAGCAGTCTTTTAATACCCCCTACTCAGACCACGCCTATGCCTTTGTTATATTTAATCCATACTTTTCAGGGTCTACCATAAAATGATTCCTCTCTTTTTAAGGTTTGGGGCGTGAGGGGGTCACAAATTTGGGTCAATCTGTCATGAGGGTGTCTAAATTCTGTGACAAATTCTGTGTGACGATGTCAAAAGTCGGCTATTCAATATCATTTATCACAATTTATGGATGCCCTACTCTCTGTTTTAATTTAATAATCTTAAAAAAGATTAATCTGCAAAATGAATGAAAGAACATGTGCAACAATTCTCTACGGGATAAATAAACCCATTAGTCCCCGCAATGGGGGCTGCTTAGCCCCAGCCCCAGGGGTTGAGGGCTTGTAATGTTGTTAAACGGCGATGGTATTCTCATTATTGAACCCGATCACCTTGGCTTGGGCTTGGGCGCCTTGGCAGTGCTTATGAACAATAAACAGCGTTTATTCATCTGAGAACTTTAAATTCATTAAGTAAAGTTTTTTTTTTTAAAGACTACTCCGTGTATAGGTGAAATCTCATTTATTTTTTTAGCATGGAGGGGCTAGATTTCAAGTTCAGTACTTAGTGGCAGTGAACAAAGTCTAACCGACTCGACTGTTTGTCGGCCGACCCAAACAAACATAGCACAGACGGATCTAAGATTTAATGGCACCACTAAAGATATATATCTTTTTTACAGTTACAGTTAATGCAGTCTGAAGTTTTAATAGCCTCCCATTGACAAGAAATACCACTGAAACACATCATTGTCAAAATACTCACTCGCCATGCTAGTAGTTCTCAGAACAATAGAAATACAGACAAGACGAAAGGACTATCACTAGGAGGTATTGACCTTGTGGGGCAAAGGTTGTTTTATCAAATATTTTGGCCTCCTTTCTTCACCGCTGGTCTTCAGCCTTTTTTAAAAAAATTTTTTAACTAAACTTAGTTTCATTATAGGCCACACATTGAGATTGGGCTTAGCGTAAACGTATATCTATGTCTTTGCGACTTCCTTTAACTCCTCACTATAGGCCTAATATTTTATTGGTTTCTACAGTTTTTATTTATTTTAAATTGAATTTGTCGTTATAATTTATCCTTAACTCTTTAGTCTTTAAACTCTCACTGCCTCAGATTCAGATTGATAATGGTACCATTAGTATTATTGTGTGACTGTGTCTACGGTTCAGAGGTGGTCAATTGGGGGGGGGGGGTCACACAAATGGCGGGTCAAGCCAAAGCTGCCAATTCCTTTAAAGTTTTACATAGAAAACTACCAATCCAGATGACATCTATGATTTTCAAAGATATAATTAGGCCTAAACAAATTAAAAAGATTCAGATTGATAATGGTACCATTAGTATTATTGTGTGACTGTGTCTACGGTTCAGAGGTGGTCAATTGGGGGGGGGGGGGGTCACACAATTGGCGGGTCAAGCCAAAGCTGCCAATTCCTTTAAAGTTTTACATAGAAAACTACCAATCCAGATGACATCTATGATTTTCAAAGATATAATTAGGCCTAAACAAATTAAATCAATATAAATCAATAAAAACAAATAAATAACCAATATTTCTTGTACAGAAATATAACAGATGCAATTCAGTCTACGTCAGCTTTTAACATTATTGGCCTACGTCAACAGATTCGGGAATGTGCCTTAAAACCAAAAAAAAGGAAAAAAACATGCACAACTGTCATTTTCCGGAAATTGTACCTTAACCCTTAACCCAAACTGACTCAGAGGGAGGGGCAAGATTAGCTCTCAGCGCTCATCCCTTATCCCATAACCTTCCACATGCAGCATTTGTGTGGACAGAAGTCGCAAGACGTAGGTTGGCGAATAATTTAAACTCACACAAAATTACTGTCTGTAGCGTCATTTATAATGTGGGGCACAAATATGATAGCCAAGAAAAACAAACTTTTTTGGACCATGCACCACCACTATGAGAAAGACCCACCACTAGGAGAAAGAATAAAAGTAAATCCAACATTAATATTTAACTAAACCAATAAGAACAAAACACCTTTTTGGGGGGGAGTTTTGAGATTTATTACTGCATGAATGCTAAGTTAAAGAAACTTAAAATGGCAAAAAAAATGGACGAATTATGGCAGACATCTGGACGGATTTTTCTTTTTAAAAGTTCCAATACAAAAAGTAGATAAACATGACTCTGAAGAGATACTGACAAAATTAGGAATTGTTGGTGGGGGATGAGTGGAACAATCAAGATTTTCCCTCCAAATGTATATATTTACACAAAAAGCATTGACCAAAGATTCATCACATACCAACATGTTAATATGTCAAATGAAAATTTAAAAAAAAAAAAAAAAAGGAATTCGATAAATGATGAGCGAAAGTCATTCCCCCATTAACCCATTCATTCATCGTTTAAAAAAAAAAAAAAAACAACGCATCAAAACTAATGCATATTAAATACTATCAGACTGTCCTAATTATCTAGTCTCAAAAAACCAACAGTCTCTGCTCATTTGTAAACATGGCTTGTATCTTGTGAAAGGAAACAGCAGGCTCAGATCTGAGAAGATCGACATGGTCAACTCTACCTCACTGTTGGATGATGTCAGCAGACCTCCGCCTCGGCATCATGGATGGTATTTATTTTAACATGTTACGGTAATTTTCTGTACACGGAACTCATTTCCATGACACTCCCATGTCAAACGACTTGCCTTTTGATTCAAATGAGTTGTAGGAACCATATACTGATATAGTGAAGTAGGCTGTTTGGCCGATGTCTGGGGAAAACAAATTCCAATGACTAAGACTGATTACCCACACAATTAATGTGTAATCTTCAATGTAGTGGAAATGTTCTCAATTCAAGTTATTTTATTCAACTCGCTGCCTTTTATTTTGTTCTTCAAAAAAGTGATAGTTCTAACTTTGGTTGATGAATGCTATATGATTCTCTGTAGTATATAATTCAGTCTTTGCAATTGGAATCCATTTTCTCCCCTTCCTTGAAACATTTTGTTTTGACGTCTGTTACCAGACGTTTTCCTGCTCCCGCCATCAGGGTTCATAAATATACTCAACATAGTCACCACTGCTCTGTTATTTGAAATATATGAAGTACACATTGTCAGAGAGAAGAAAAAGCAAAATAAGATCAAATTTTCTTAATGGCCCGATCTCGGTAATTATTGGGACCAGAATTCTTTTATTTTTTAATACTGTTGCCTTTTCAAGATTGTCTCGGATTGATAAAAATAATTTGGCACTGAATAATTCAGAAATTATTTTTTAAACGCCTGCCAAATTGATTTCAAAAGATCAAATAACATTTTTAATTAAAAAAAAGTATAACAATGAATACACATTATTCATAGTTTGGTGATACAAGGGTTTTCCAGTTGTTGATTAATGAATGTCCGAAAGAACATTTTTGTTCAATTTTTTATATTTATTAATGTCAAAAATGCACTTGTGGCTGAGAACATCGTAACGACCTAGATGCATTCCTGTTAAATGACCTAGGTGAAACGAATGTTTAAAGAACCTAGGAACACCAAACGTTGAGAAGGACCTAGGAGCATTTAAAACATTCATCACACCCAAGGACAGTGATAACATTAGAAAACATCAAAGATCAAATGGAACAAATGTTAATAAACTTTTTAATGACAGAAAAATAAAAATTAATTTTTAATGGGTTTTTTTTTAAAAAAAAGGATATGAAGAAAAAAAAAACGGCAACATGATTGATATTTGTGTTCATGATATAAAAAAACATTCACTGTCTAACTCTTTCAGTTGTCAACTCAGCTGCTGAAGCAGGCTTGTCCTATTTCAATGCCAAACTCTTGCTCGCTGCCAGCCACATCTTTCAAACCTATGTCAAGGATAGGTATTCTCTTCAGCTGTTGGTCTTTACCTCTGACCTCAACAACTGTGCTGCTCCACTGGCCGGTCCTCTCCTGTATTAGAAAAGAATTTGAAATAATGTCTCAAACTTTAAATAGCTCAAACTTTTGAATTTGGTATTGGTAACAAGCTCTTATATTACAATGAGAGGTGCTCATCAGCGTGAAGTACTCTATGATTGTGAAGTAACATGTGAGTGTGAAGTACCAAGTGAGCGTGAAGTGCTCTATGAGAGAGAAGTGCACAACCCATGGGGGTCGTGAAAGTGAGAGCCTAAACAAGTCACTATAAAATCCTTGGTAGGTAATGTGTTTAAACCAGTATGTGTCAGTGGTGTGACCCCAATTGGTCTCATACTCACTCTGCAGTTATCCTCAATGACTTTATACTTGAAGGTCTTCTTGCCTCCAACGGTCACATCTTCCTCATCGAAGCTGACCAGCTTCATGGCATTGTCCCAGGTGTTGTTGCTGCTGTCAAAGACGGCCACCACATTCTTGCAGTGGATGGTGATCCTCTGCCTGGCTTTCTTGGTCAAATATTGCAGGAATTTCACCTGAGACTTGTGGGTCTGGTAAGAGAACTGAAAAAAAAAAAAACATTCACATTTTATTTTAAACATGAAGGAATCTGAGATAGGTAAATACTCTTTCCAAAAACTGTCATGAAAATTATATCACAATTATTATAATTTTTTTATGGTGTTTTTCAGTTGATGAGGAAATCTTCAAAACAAGTAGGTTAATAGAAATAATCAATATCAATGTATTTGTTTGCATATCAAAAATAATTTTCCTCAGCTCTTCTTTCAAAGCTCAAATTTGGTTAATTTTTTTAAAAAAATATAAGAACATTGGCTGTGTGTCTAAACTGTAAGTGTATTGACCTCGGAGTCTGCAAAGCTGTCAGCAAATAGGGCATACTCATCATTGCCACTGGGTCTGCTTGTGAACCATTGCCTATTCTCAAACTGTATAGGGAAAGAAAAAAACAAAGAACTGTTCAACAAATTACTTTCAGTTATAGATATTAATTTCAACCAACAGTTGTTTACTCATTGACATTCTAATTGTAGCTTAAACAGATACATTTTTTTGTGTGGAAAAATATAGCGACATAATAAACTGGCCAGTGGTTTTTTAACCATCATATATGGAAATATATTACCGTTAACTCAGTTACCAGTATGTAAAAATAACAACTGCTGCCTACGGAAATGTACTGATAAAACTAACAGCCAATACTAATTACAATATTCCAGGAAAATTTTTTGTTTTTTTACCTTGGAAGTGGCAGGGACCAGGCAGGTCTGTGTGTCATCCAAGACCTCATAGTTAAACCTGCAGAAAACTTGAATAGCGTCAGAAACACCTCCACCATTGGGATCAATCCAGTAGAGACCTTTGCAGAACAAAGAGATTGTCATTTATACCCAATCAATGGCAGCACAACAAAGATTCTTTGCTATATTTTATTAAGAGACTAAACACAACCTTTTTCCGAAAAATCACAAAAACAGTTTAATAGAAATCGACCATGTATATTAGTATTACAATATAAAAAGACAGATGTAAGAAAACATTTCAAAAAAAAAAAAGAACTGAAATCTATGGAGAGTTAAAGATATGTTTTACATGCCCAGCAGGCCACATTAAGAGATCCTACCATTCCTGGGTTTCTCCTCGCCAGCTGATGCGGCCAACTCTCGGCATGTTCTGCCCGGAGAAGTTTTCTCTCCTGTTGGTCTCCTGAGTTTCTTGATCTCCTCTGTAACTTGTTTGAGGGCTTCAATGGTGTTGCGGCCTTCCTCAGTGGGGGCATCTCCCTGCGATGGACATGCAAGTTTTAGGTGGGAGTTCAGTTATTGAATAAATTATAACAGGCTTTCCGGTATCTTTCATTGCTTGCAATTCTGACAGAGTGTAAAGCCTTATGTGCTTTGTGTTTACAT